TACCTCATGAGTTCAGGGCCCATTTTATTGCTGAACATTCATTCCCATGGCCTCATGGAGGACTTTGAATTTATTCCATGGCATACCCTTTAGCAGAGGCCAGAATCACAAGGCATCAGTTTAGAGTCACTTCTGAGTTATTCTAACTCATGTTATTTATGCATTTACTTGTGTATTTGAACATGATATATATATATATATATATATATATGCACATATATGCATACACATAATTTCTGCTTATTTTTCTTCTAGTTTTAGAAGAAAATGCAAGCACTGTAGTTAAAATGTAGATTCCACTACCACCACCACCACTACCACCATTGCCCAATTTACTTAGTGGGGACCTTTGAAATTTAGTGTTCATTTATGAAAATGTTTTTTGAATGTTATTTTATAAGGTAATACAGTTTGCTTATCTTATGTAGAAACGTGGTGTGAATTATGCATGGTTAGAATGTTGGGGGGAGGGGTTTATTTCACCCCTCACCTCCCAAAAAAGCAGATTCAAGGAAATAAAGAAGTGTGACATCTAACTTTTATTTTGCAAGTACATGAAAAAAAAATTAATAACCTGCTATGGGAAGGAAAAAAAGAAAGGATCATAGAAAGGGAGTAACAGAGAGTAAAATATATTCGTAAAGGCTAGAAAGGAAACTGTTTTTCCTATAGGAGGGAAATTAGACTTACCCATCTTGTGAATGGTGTCTGCAGGGCAGGGCATGCACCCTGAGACCAAATTCAAAGCCAGTTGTTTATTTTTGTTAGCTGGAGGAAATCCCAGGCAACAAAGGGTTATTATAGGAATTTCAGAAGCCCTTGGGTCCTGAGGGTTGGGTGGTGCCTGGTTAAGAGCACCTCATCTGCCCTTCCTGCAAGCTGGGCCTTAGGCTGGGTTAGGTCACACACTGCAGAGAGTTTAAGGGGTTGGACTCCTGGTTTCGAGTCCCTACATGTTGGCTGGGTGGGMAGAACTCTACTCCTTTTACTGGGGGTGCCTGGGGCCTGCACTTGGCTGTGGGAACAGAGCCATCCTCGGAGGGAAGGGAAACGAGGGAGTGGGGAGATGGAGAGGAGGGTGGAGTTAAGAGGCCAAGGGCTGCTAGCTGGGGAAACAGTTTTTATTCTGTCTTCAGCTTGGTCTTCTGAGAGTTGGGAGTGTGATCTGATGAGTGGGAAAGTGGGAGCCTGATATAGAACCCCTGTCCTTTCCCCGCTACCCACAAAGGGAGGGTCCACAGTTTGACAATGCCCAGGCTGGCAGGACCAGTTTAGGAGTGAGCAGACAAGGTATGTGGAAATGGGTTGTGGGGTTCCAGAGGGTTCTAGGGCAAAGCTGATACCCACCCCATTCTGCTGCTTTGAGCAGCTGCCCTTGGCTTTTCCAGCCCATAGCTTTGTGGCCCCCATGGTTGTGAAAGTGGAAGAGTGACTTACCGTTGTTGTCCCCTCCTGACCCTCTAACCAGAGCCTGGGGTGGGCCTGCCCTGGGACTTTCTTCTGCATGTGTACTGGGCATGTAATGCAGTTAGTCATTACCCTCAGTGATTAATCACACCGGGTAGGAATGAAAACTCACTGGCATGTTGGACCTGATAGTTTACAGAGGGTTTTTAGATGGTTCTGTCATTTGAACCTCACAACAATTCTTTAAAGGCACTTTTTCTATGCTCATTTTACAGATAGGAGTCCTAAGGCTCAGAGAAATTAAATGACAGTCCCAGAGTCGCAAGCTAGTAAATAACAGAACCAGAAGTCCCACTTCGGACCTTCTCGTTCTTCCAAATTTTGAGGCTTAAGTCACATGACTTTTTTTTGTATTGGTGACCCACTAGAAATGGGGGTCATTCCTTCCCTTAAAATAAAATAAAACCAGGAGGTGGGCTAACAGCTGCCTTTAACCCTTTCAATGCCTTGAGTTCTTATGCTTGGGGGCCAGGTCTCACTTTATTGCTTCAAATCAAAACAATCCCAGTGAATGCCCAATGAGGCTCTCAAATCGAGAAGTTGATTTTCATCAGAGTAAATGAAGAATATTATTATATTTTACACGTCAATAAATCAATGTAGCCCTAATTTTGCCACGCAGGAAATCAATTCTGGTCTTTCTAAACCATCAAAGATGTTATGAACAAAGTAATTTCACAAATTATGGCAAGTAACACATTTATTGATGACTGCAGTTTAGGAATTTAGAATCTGTGAGCACTGTAATATAATATGGTGCACCGGCATGAGCTGAGTGAAATACAGATTATATGGTGAAATTGTAATGCATCATTTGCTATTAGTGGACTGGTAATAATTACCAGTTTCAAAGCAGCTCTTTCCGTGTAATCTTTAGTCTCAATCGTAACAGCCCTTCTCATTGACATTATGATTACACTAGCTGCCCTCATGATCTAGAATATCTAGTTGATGGGAATACTAAAGTGCGATAGTGAAAACTCTATGTTGTATCCTCATTATGAGATAAAATGCCATTTTCTCTGACCTGATGTATGAGAGGGGGAGGGATAGCATCATAGTGTTAACATACTGTAACATAATCACATAACTGGCTCTGAAAAAAATTTTAAGAAGCACAGGACAGCAAAATAAAATGGACTTTTCTTGTTGAAGCCTCTTGGAAAGGATACAAATGAGCTTCTTGACGTAGTGCCGTATGCCACAGCTCTCGGCATTTATCAGTGGCAGCATCATGGCACATACGAAACCAGCATCACTAATTATGGGTCCAGTCCTGGGTTTCAGGAGAAGATTATAAGGGTAAAATATGATTTTAAGGCATCTTGAAGTGGTGAAAGTGTGAAGGGCTGGCTTTAGCTGACAAATTTCCTTTTTATGTCCCCAATTCTGATTGTCAGGCTAAATGTATGATAATAACCCAAAGTCCTAGGGGGGCAAAGGAGAAGGCCACAGAGGGTCACAGTACTTGGAACCAGATAGTTTTGTCCCTGTCTATTTGGGAACCAAGTCATTTGTTCAGCAACAACAAAAAATTTATGAAAATACTCTCAATGAAGCTTTTTATTTCCCTTTGAAGAAAAGAGGCAAACAAAAATAGGCAGATAATGTGATACTAATGTCAGCGTTTTCTTTCAAAATCTTTCTGCCTCCCTCCCCCCACCCTTTCCACATTAGACAAATGTTTGAAACCTAATTTTGGTATCTTACCATCTAATCTTGTTAAAGAGATTTACCCAGGAGTGGGATATATTGAGTGAGATTATAAATGCATTGTAAAGTAAATTACAAGGTCAGGGCAGGAGTCCATTATTTAGACAAGTGCTTGAGCGAGGCTGGCTTGTTTTGGAATATGAGTGTTTGGGGCTCCTAAGAAGACCCTGCCAGCTTTTCTTTCTGACTTGCTAAATGGAGGAATCATATAATTGATGAATTCCTCATTCCCACTCTTTAGCTCCCTGGTGAATTCTGTCCTTTTAAAAAAGTTACTGACAAATGCTAGCTGTGGGCTGAAGGAACTCTGCTAGCCCCTCTTTTAAAAGAGGGAGAAAGTTTATTTCTCAGTTATATTTTAAGCTCTGTCTTTTTTCAGAATCCCTGGGACATTATCCATTATTCTCATCCTTATCCTTAGGCCTCCATCACTTGTGCCCTTTTTAAGGCTACAGTTGACTGGTAAACTGTTGGTTAGTTACTCCATATATGTATGCGTATATATATGTGTGTGTGTGTATATATATATATATATATATATATATATATATATATATATAACACATACATGTACATTTTAATTTAGCTATCTCCCAAAATGAATGATTTCGTGAAGTCAAGCTGGCCCCCTCTTTGCCAAAGTGGCATTTACCACTCTCGGGTTCTTTTCAGCAAGAGAGAAATAATGTGACTTAAGCAGGGCCCCTCTCCAGACGGCTTGGCTACTGGCCAAAGAGTTGACTAGCTGAACTGTATCTTTCTGTTTCTTTCTCAACTGGAGCCGAGTCTCAGCCGAGGGCGCAGGATGTTGTATAATTTGGTTCACGTTGTTAGCCTCTCAAAATAATGAGGAGGAGGCTAGTGTAGCATTGCTCAGCCTGCTGCCTGTCATGGTGTTGGCGGCCTTAACTGTTCCTTCAACCAGGATGCTGTGTCTGCTGAAGTTGGCACCAGCCACTCCTCCTAACTCTTCTTCAGACTTGCATTTGCTGCACTGGGGGACAACTCCTAAGCATCTCCGTGCAGCCTTTCAGTTCAATCTGAATTAAATTTTTCTTTTGAGATTTTCATGACATTCCTTGAGATTAAAAAATGGGTGTCCCCTGTGGGAGATTATGAATAAAATCCAGATTAGAACTCACCCATGGGCACATAGGCTGGGATGGGAGAATGTTGCTAGTCTTTGTTCTGTGGAAGAATTTTTTGAGTCCCTTCTCATTTTTACAATGTCAACAATTAGTATATTTCAAGTTAAGCCTCAGTAGGGCTACAGAGATCTATGGTTAGTTTACCTTCTTCTTCTCTTTTTGGCATCTAGATGGAATGATTGCCAATTTAGAAAATTCACCTGCCACTCAGAGGAGAATAGACTAGGATCATAGGATTTGGGAAGCAAAACAATTTTCCTCAGTCACCTTGTCCGAGTAACAGATGAGGAAACAGAGGCACAAAGAGATGAAATGGCTTGCCCCCAACCACAGCTTACGAGGTTGGAAGGTTCATAAGACATTTGCCAAGATCCCTAGAATACAGGGACCCTCATTCTCAAGCTTGAATTGGTTGGAATTTTTCTGCTTTGGGGTGTGGATACAGAATTCTTAGAACAGAGTTTAATGACAGGAAGACTGACTCATATATATTTATTGGGCATCGACCACCAGATGGGCCAGGCACCGTGTAGGCACAGGGGTAGGTCTGTGAGGGCTTAGGCATTGGGGTAGAGGGGCCGGCAGGGAAAACTGAGGGTGGAACATGAGTAAGCAATTGCTGATGCCCCCTCGGTGATTAAACATTGATGTTGCTGTTGTATTATTTTGCAGGTAAAGATGAGCCCAGCAGCTACACATGTACAACTTGCAAACAGCCATTCACCAGTGCATGGTTTCTCTTGCAACACGCACAGAACACTCATGGATTAAGAATCTACTTAGAAAGCGAACACGGAAGTCCCCTGACCCCGCGGGTTGGTATCCCTTCAGGACTAGGTGCAGAATGTCCTTCCCAGCCACCTCTCCATGGGATTCATATTGCAGACAATAACCCCTTTAACCTGCTAAGAATACCAGGATCAGTATCCAGAGAGGCTTCCGGCCTGGCAGAAGGGCGCTTTCCACCCACTCCCCCCCTGTTTAGTCCACCACCGAGACATCACTTGGACCCCCACCGCATAGAGCGCCTGGGGGCGGAAGAGATGGCCCTGGCCACCCATCACCCGAGTGCCTTTGACAGGGTGCTGCGGTTGAATCCAATGGCTATGGAGCCTCCCGCCATGGATTTCTCTAGGAGACTTAGAGAGCTGGCAGGGAACACGTCTAGCCCACCGCTGTCCCCAGGCCGGCCCAGCCCTATGCAAAGGTTACTGCAACCATTCCAGCCAGGTAGCAAGCCGCCCTTCCTGGCGACGCCCCCCCTCCCTCCTCTGCAATCCGCCCCTCCTCCCTCCCAGCCCCCGGTCAAGTCCAAGTCATGCGAGTTCTGCGGCAAGACGTTCAAATTTCAGAGCAACCTGGTGGTGCACCGGCGCAGCCACACGGGCGAGAAGCCCTACAAATGCAACCTGTGCGACCATGCCTGCACACAGGCCAGCAAGCTGAAGCGCCACATGAAGACGCACATGCACAAGTCCTCCCCAATGACGGTCAAGTCTGACGACGGCCTCTCTACCGCCAGCTCCCCGGAACCTGGCACCAGCGACCTGGTGGGCAGCGCCAGCAGCGCGCTCAAGTCCGTGGTGGCCAAGTTCAAGAGCGAGAATGACCCCAACCTGATCCCAGAGAATGGGGACGAGGAGGAAGAGGAGGACGACGAGGAAGAAGAAGAAGAGGAGGAAGAGGAGGAGGAGGAGCTGACGGAGAGCGAGAGGGTGGACTACGGCTTCGGGCTGAGCCTGGAGGCGGCGCGCCACCACGAGAACAGCTCGCGGGGCGCGGTGGTGGGCGTGGGCGACGAGGGCCGCGCCCTGCCCGATGTCATGCAGGGCATGGTGCTCAGCTCCATGCAGCACTTCAGCGAGGCCTTCCACCAGGTCCTGGGCGAGAAGCATAAGCGCGGCCACCTGGCCGAGGCTGAGGGCCACAGGGACACTTGCGACGAAGACTCGGTGGCCGGCGAGTCGGACCGCATAGACGATGGCACTGTTAACGGCCGTGGCTGCTCCCCGGGCGAGTCGGCCTCGGGGGGCCTGTCCAAAAAGCTGCTGCTGGGCAGCCCCAGCTCGCTGAGCCCCTTCTCCAAGCGCATCAAGCTCGAGAAGGAGTTCGACCTGCCCCCCGCCGCGATGCCCAACACGGAGAACGTGTACTCGCAGTGGCTCGCCGGCTACGCGGCCTCCAGGCAGCTCAAAGATCCCTTCCTTAGCTTCGGAGACTCCAGACAATCGCCTTTTGCCTCCTCATCGGAGCACTCCTCGGAGAACGGGAGCTTGCGCTTCTCCACGCCCCCCGGGGAGCTGGACGGAGGGATCTCGGGGCGCAGCGGCACGGGAAGTGGAGGGAGCACGCCCCATATTAGTGGTCCGGGCCCGGGCAGGCCCAGCTCAAAAGAGGGCAGACGCAGCGACACTTGTGAGTACTGTGGGAAAGTCTTCAAGAACTGTAGCAATCTCACTGTCCACAGGAGAAGCCACACGGGCGAAAGGCCTTATAAATGCGAGCTGTGCAACTATGCCTGTGCCCAGAGTAGCAAGCTCACCAGGCACATGAAAACGCATGGCCAGGTGGGGAAGGACGTTTACAAATGTGAAATTTGTAAGATGCCTTTTAGCGTGTACAGTACCCTGGAGAAACACATGAAAAAATGGCACAGTGATCGAGTGTTGAATAATGATATAAAAACTGAATAGAGGTATATTAATACTCCTCCCTCACTCCCACCCGACACCTCCTTTTTTCACCATCCCCCSCTACCCCATAGCCCTCCAGTCCCACTCCCTGTAGGATTTTTTTCTAGTCCCATGTGATTTAAACAAACAAACAAATAATAAACAAAAGTAACGGAAGCTAAGAATATGAGAGTGCTTGTCACCAGCACACCTGTTTTTTTTTTTTCTTTTCCTTTTTCTTTTTCTTTTTTTTTTCTTTATGTTCTCACCGTTTGAATGCATGATCTGTATGGGGCAATACTATTGCATTTTACGCAAACTTTGAGCCTTTCTCTTGTGCAATAATTTACATGTTGTGTATGTTTTTTTTTTTTTTTAAACTTAGACAGCATGTATGGTATGTTATGGCTATTTTAAATTGTCCCTAATTCGTTGCTGAGCAAACATGTTGCTGTTTCCAGTTCCGTTCTGAGAAAAAGAGAGAGAGAGAAAAAAAAAGACCATGCTGCATACATTCTGTAATACATATCATGTACAGTTTTATTTTATAACGTGAGAAGGAAAAAAAGTCTTTTGGATTAACCCTCTATAGACAGAATAGATGGCACTGAAAAAAAAAAAAAACCTATCAGCTAAATGTCTGTCTCTAAAGGGTTAAATGTATCAATTGGAGAGGAAAGAGAAAGAAAGGCCTTGAATTGACAAATTAACAGAAAACAGAACAAGTTTATTCTATCATTTGGTTTTAAAATATGAGTGCCTTGGATCTATTAAAACCACATTGATGGTTCTTTTTACTTGTTATAAACTTGTAGCTTAATTCAGCRTTGGGTGAGGTAATGAACCCTAGGACCTAGCATATAATTCTATATTGTATTTCTCACAACAATGGCTACCTAAAAATATAACCCATTATGTCCTAGTTAATCATCATTTTCCCTTTAGTTTAACTTTTGTGAACAAAAACTGATTATACCAGTATAAAAGCTACTTTGCTCCTGGTGAGAGCTTAAAAGAAATGGGCTGCTTTGCCCGAAGTTTTATTTTTTTTTAAACAATGATTAAATTGAATGTGTAACGTGCAAAAGTCCCGGAACGTGATTAAATACATTAGTAAGGAGTTCATTTTGTGAAGATGCTTGTTTGAAATAATATCTTTTAAAAATTCTGGCACCAAAARAAATAGATCCAGATCCACTTGGTTGTCAAATGGACAATCACATGATAAACTTAAAACCTAGTATACTATGTTAAAAAAAGAAGAGGCTGACAATGAGGTTTGACAGAGGGGAACAGAGGAAAAAAAAGAAGTGATTTATTAGCACAACATGGTACTATTTGCCATTTTAAACTAGAACAGGTATATAAGCTAATATTGATACAATGATGATTAACTATGAATTCTTAAAGACTTGCGTTAAAATGTGACATTCTTAAAAAAAAGAAGAGAAAGAATTTTAAGAGTAGCAGTATATATGTCTGTGCTCCCTAAAAGTTGTACTTCATTTCTTTTCCATACACTGTGTGCTATTTGTGTTAACATGGAAGAGGATTCATTGTTTTTATTTTTTTATTTTTTTAAGTTTTTCTTTTTTATTAAGCTAGCATCTGCCCCAGTTGGTGTTCAAATAGCACTTGACTCTGCCTGTGATACCTGTATCTTTTCTCTAATCAGAGATACAGAGGTTGAGTATAAAATAAACCTGCTCAGATAGGACAATTAAGTGCACTGTACAATTTTCCCAGTTTACAGGTCTATACTTAAGGGAAAAGTTGCAAGAATGCTGAAAAAAAAATTGAACACAATCTCATTGATGAGCATTTAAAAAAAAAAAAGAAAAAAAAACTAAAAAACTTTGCCAGCCATTTACTTGACTAATGAGCTTACTTACTTGGACGCAACATTGCGAGCGCTGTGAATGGAAACAGAATACACTTAACATAGAAATGAATGATTGCTTTCGCTTCTACAGTGCAAGGATTTTTTTGTACAAAACTTTTTTAAATATAAATGTTAAGAAAAAAATTTTTTAAAAAAAACACTTCATTATGTTTAGGGGGGAACTGCATTTTAGGGTTCCATTGTCTTGGTGGTGTTACAAGACTTGTTATCCATTTAAAAATGGTAGTGGAAATTCTATGCCTTGGATTACACACCGCTCTTCAGGTTGTAAAAAAAAAAAAAAAAAAAAAACATACATTGGGGAAAGGTTTAAGATTATATAGTACTTAAATATAGGAAAATGCACACTCATGTTGATTCCTATGCTAAAACACATTTATGGTCTTTTTTCTGTATTTCTAGAATGGTATTTGAATTAAATGTTCATCTAGTGTTAGGCACTATAGTATTTATATTGAAGCTTGTATTTTTAACTGTTGCTTGTTCTCTTAAAAGGTATCAATGTACCTTTTTTGGTAGTGGAAAAAAAAAAA